GTATGAGGAGCAACTGATATCCCTTAGTTTGTTCAGCCTAGAGAAGAGCAGTCTGAATGGAGGCCTCATGGCAGCTTCAGCCCCTCATGAAGGGAGCTGAGGGGCAGTGCTGTGTTCTGCTCTCTGGTGACAGTGGCCAGGCCTGAGAGAACTGATGGAGATGCCTCATGGGAGGGTCAGTTTGGGGATTAGGAAAAAGTTCTTCACCAAAGTGTGGCTGGGTACTGGAACAGGCTCCCTGGGATGGTGGTCATAACACCAAGCCTGTTGGAATTCAGGAGATGTTTGAACAGTGATTTTTGAAGGTAGGATTTGGCTTTTGGATGTTCCTATGTGGAGTCAGGTGCTGGAGTTGATGATCCTCGTCCCTTCCAAATCACAGTATTTCATGATTTTTTTTTTTTTGAAGTAGAGTTCATAGGCTCTTCAGCAAAATAAATTTTTTAGCTTGTTTATTGACATAGCATTCTTGATTCAGTTGAACTTAAATATTGCAGAGAACTGGAGTAAGGTCAAGGTAAAACTGATCCAGTACCTCTGAAAAAAGGGAAAAAGTTTAACTGAAGAAATCAATAGGTGATGTGCTTCACTGACAACTGTTGCCTCTTTCTTCTCACTGTAAGGCTTGCTTGGCTTTATAGATGTTGGATTTAAACAAAGTCTTGTTACTGTATACAAGCTTAAATTTAGATCTTGGAGTATCCTTAGTGCCTGATGATACCTCCAAAATTTTATTTTCTTACTGATTTCTGAGAAAGTGGAAAATAAACTGTGCTGGGTTCATCTTACATTTCAAGGAATGATTGTAGCATGTATGCTACTTGGTTTGGCTGTTAACCACATAAGCCATAGTCAGAAACTTAGGACAGGTAACAAATTCTAACAAATCCAGCTAATACACTGGATTAGTAATTGCATAGCTGGTATGTACTGGACTTGCTATATATTTCAAGCTGCCTGAAGGTAGCTGCTTTTCTTATCTAAAACACAAATTTAGAACAAGTACACTGCTAGTGTTAGGGATAAAGCTTGGCATAATCTTGACTTAAAAAATGTAATTTTTTAGGGAACTCCATCTGAATCTCTTAATGGGGAGGTAGCAGAAGAAACTACTAAGACCTTAGTTACGGCTGAAGAGGAAGCTGCAAATGAAGTCCTAGGTGTTGAATCAAAGTTGCAGACTGAGAGTCAAGAAGAACCCTTAACACTGCTTGTTCCATTAATCCTCGAGTCTCCAACAAAACCTTCAGAAGACGCTGCATCAGAGAAGGTGAGAGAATTGAAACAAAATGTTGTTTTTCCTTCAGAATGTACATACTTTACTGTTTCCTCTTTCTATTATGTAACAGTTAGGAGGAGGCCCCCACCACTGTATGAAATTCTTGGGAGATGAAGTTATTAGGCCAGATGATGCAAATCCATTGGCAAAATATACTACCATTTCTGCTTTGATATGCAGAAGTGGGGCATATATTTGTGATACCAGCAAGATAAAAGAAAGCGAAAAAAAAACTTTCTTCAGTATCCCTTGGCAATACTGAAACAGCTCTTTCTCTCTGAATTGTTTGTTGGATATGTCTGAAAGCAATATCTGTGTTTTATCTAGTACATCTTCACTGGTTGAGTGTACAAGCAATTAATTACTAGTAAAATACTCTTCAATAACACAGATTTTACCATCAGTGGTTTTGAAACATTGGTATTTTTCCCTGGGTATAATTTCAGAATATGTCTACTTTTTTTTTTAATAGTTTGAATATGAAAAGATAGTGGGGAACTCTGAATATCAAATTCAGTTCACAAAATAGTTTTGTGCAATGAGGAGGAAAGGGTTGGTTAGTTGACTGTATATGCATTAATGGGAATGTTGAATGCCAAAATATCCTCTGTAGTTGCTAACTAAGGTTAAAAGTTGTTCATCCTCTTCTATCTTAAATTAATTATCCCTTTGTTTTGGCACACCCTCAGGTTTTAAATGCAAATGATTCAGAAGGACTGACTGAAGAAAGTGCATTGATGGAGAAGAAGGGCACTGAGGAAGAAAAGCAAGAATCTGAAGAAAAAAAATCATCCACTGAAAATGTAATTGCTTTAACATCAAAGGAAGAAGTCTCAAACAATGGGCTACCAAACTCTATCAAAAGTGAAGCAACTGAAGAAGCTGTTTCTGAAAATGTGGCACACAAACCAGCTTCCTCATTGGAAGATCAAAATGAGGAAGCAGAGCAGAACTCACAAGAAGCTTCTGTTGCTTTGGGTCAGAGCTCTTTGTTAGTGGTTGAACTGGAGGGTGTTTCTTTTCAGCAGCCTTCTGGACAGGAAGGACAGAAGAACCAAACAGAAGAGCACTTGGAGGAGTCTGCTGAGCAGACAGAGCAGTACACACAGACAGCAGAGCGGGCAGCTGACAGCAGCTCTGAGGAAGCAGAAATTGAGGTGCCCATTGTGGATCGGAGAAACTTGCGAAGGAAGGCCAAAGGTTACAAAGGTCCTCCCAAGAAAAAAGGAAAGCCAGCTTAAAATAAATTGTTAGTTCATCTATTTGTACAAAAAACTTATTTTGTGTAAAACACTAGGGTGCAACTAAAACATATAGGACTCAGACACTCAAAATAAATACTGGGTTGGACTTCCTTTTGAGATTCATAACCTTTGCTCAAGATTTCTTAAATTTTTAACCAGTAGACATTGATCTTCTTCAGAATATGAAAGTAAACAGCCAGTCTCCTTCTTTTATAAAGTATACATGCTAAATAAAGTTTTGCTAGTGAAGGAACAGTTTGCATATTTCAGGTGTCAAGAAGGAAAAATGACATGTAAAATTCTATGAAAATTTTAGTAACTTTAATAAAGCCAGAATTTCATGAGGCCATTCATCACAAATTATTTTGAAAGAATTTAAAACATTTGAGTGTTCTGCATCTCTCCACAGTACAGAACAAGAAACATCCCTCCTCTCTTCTTGTTAATTCCCCACAGGCTTTTTCGGATAAGATTAAAAGAATGTTAGATTGTGATTTTAGGTCTCAAAATATACAAGAAGTTATAACTCTGCAGATCAAAACAACGTAACGTAGCATCTATCTTTTATTAGAGTCAAACTGGAGAGAATGGCTCTGATTCCGATTCCCAAACTAGCAAATTTGATTTGCTAATCACTTGAAACAGCTGAGTTACCAGTAACAAAATCAGCACAGCATCTACCATAGCACACCTAAAATGAAGTTCTTTATGTGGGAAGGTTTAGAGTTGTGTACACAGTAAACTGTATCTGTAGCTTCCAAAGTGAATATCTTGTTAAGTGTGAGCTTCTCCAGAATGTATGGAGTGAGGACTCCAGTACACTTACAGAATTGTTTGAACAGCCTTTCTAACTACTTGCATGTGCAGAATGGATACTTGCTTAATTGTTATGTTATGGGACAAGACAGTTTTTGATCTAGTATTGGTCTAATTGGAAGTGGTGCTTTGTGTTTTCCAGATAATTAGCTGATGCTGTTAAAATGTTGTAACTTCCAGGTGTGTGACTCCTGTGAACTCTGAAATTTCAGGTGATTGTGACATTTATTAGTGTCAAAATATTAGTGGATGTTTCAATGAATGCTTTTTTTTTTTTCCAGACTTCTACGCCTTTAGGTGTTATCAGGAGATTGTTGCAAATATTTGTGATTCACACTTCCTTTTTGTAAATTGAGTGTAATTTCTGGACTGATTCCCTGTTCATAGATCTTACTAAAAACAGGAAGTAAACCTTGCTATATACAAGCAGAAATACAAACAGGCTATTATGCATATTTACTTCCAGAAATTTTTCTAGCAAAGTATATATTTAATACAACTTGTCAGGTTTACATTGAGTTACTCCTTAATTTGCAATACATTTATTCAGTAAGTGAAGTTCCTCTTGTAAAGAGCTGAAAAGTCAGGAATAAGAAAGAACAGTGGTTTTAGTAACAGGAAATCACACAGCTATTCACCCTTCTATTTAATCTTAGATTAAAAAAACTAGTCTCCTACTGTGTCTTGGAAGTGCTGGGCTTCTGAAAATTGCTGTTAAGGTTCACTTGAATAGTTGCAGTGCTGTGTTAGTTTTTATCTCTCCATGAAGCAAGTAAGAAATCTATTTTATGCCTATAGTTTAAGCGTACTTTATAAAATATTTTAGCTAAGATGTATTCTTACTATTTATTTCACCTGTTGAAGAACAATCCTATTTTTACTCTGTTTAAAAAAAAAAAAAAGCTTATGTGGGATGTGTTGCTTTCGTTTTTATTAGACACATGTATTACATAAATTTTTGATTCAAACCTTAGACTTCAGAGTGGATGAGATAACTGAGTTTGGATGTTGAGCATAGTTGTAACTCCCTGTCAATGTGCATTTACTACTTATGAACCCCGCAACTGACAAATGTTCAAGATCTTTTATGGTTGTTTGTAAACACATTCAAGTGAACCTTAAGAATTTCTTAAAGTAATTAAACATTTTCTATAAGGCACATGGAACAAAACTTGTTACCGATAGTATGATTTGTCTTATGATGCTAAGTTACTGTAAGAAAAAAAAAACACACACAAAGCACACATCTGTTACATTGCTAAGGATGAAGCCTGATAGTTTTAAAAAATGCTGATTGTATGCAGTTTTTAGTCATTCATTTTGCATTTGTTAGAGCAAACTTTACTATGCACTAACCTGTTAAATACTTCAGTTGATACAAATGTGTTCACATTCAAGAATTCTGTTGTTTACAAACAAGTGAGAGCCACTTGTTTCCTCTAGGTGGATTTTTTTTTTTTTAATGCATACATTTGTCACTTGGTTTTTCCCTGTAAGGTTGGAAAACCCTCTGTGGAAAGGTTATTTAACTTCTGATATTTCTTTTCATGGCTAAGTTGGAACTAGTTTCAATTAGTATCTTATTCTTAGGACATCTATATATTGAATGCAGGAAAAACTACAACAGAATTATTAAATGAGGTCAGTCTTGGTTTCTGCTAAAAAAAAAAAAAAAAAGTCAGGTATCTGATCAAATTCCAGAAAGTTTTGAAATACTGAGCTAAAATTCACATCTTTACGTGTACTCTTGGGTAGCTAGCTGTATTTTTTTGGGGTACTTGAGATAGTAGCCAATGGCCAGATTGCTATCTACCTACTGTGGGCAGTCGTGGTGCAATTAGCAGTTCTAATAAGCAGTATGGTCTTGAAACCTAGAAATAGTTCTTAACTGTGATCACAGCAGTACTTCGAGCTAGAATGGAGTTTGTTTCTCTAATAACTTCTTGGGCATCAGTTGTCTTGCAGTAAATATATAGTAGCCAAATCAAACTACTGATTTAAATATAATAGTTTGTATTGTTGTGATGATTGTCCAGTTGGAACAGTAGTTTAATCATCTATACCTTCCATTGCATTGAAGCAAGGAAACTTATCTGACAACTGTATTGACTGAAATGTTTTACCTTGGGAAAAATTGTTTTATGCCTGGACAGTTTTTCTTTGGTCGGTTCACTGTCTGGCTTACTACCACTGAATTGCTAAACAATTTAAGATCTTACCACACCAGCAAACCGGTGATTGAAACATCAAGTTCATTTGTTTGTACCAGATACTGTTATGGTATGTTGTTACGGTTACGTGTGTATGGTGAAAGCGAGCAGTATTATTTTTGAGCTTTATTTAGCCTGGGAATGGAGTTTAAAGAATCTTTACTTGTGATTTCAACATTGCACTTAAATAGTAAATAGTTCTGTGTTTGAATGCATTGCTTGTAAAAATGTTTCTCTTGTATGCTGCTTAATTTTCAATAGAACTTGCTTTGTTTCTCACAGTTTCTTTTGGTTTCATTTCATGCAGAATTCTTGTTTGCCATTCTCATGTTCCATAGCCCTTTACATAAAAATATGTATTTATTCCAGTTTCGTTTAAATTTGTTTTAAATAAGTCATACTTTGTTTGTTGGTGTACTTCTTTTCCATTTCATTTGTGGGTGTCAGTAATCAAATCGATCATTTAGAACTTATCAACACTACTAGGATGAAAACAGCAATAAATAGGCCTAAGTTTCATCCTCTCCTCGAGTGACCATTAAAAGATACTACCAAGGGGATATACTTCTATATTTATTTTCATGAATGTGGTGTTAGATGTTTTTTAAACTAGTATTTATAAATTCTATGAAAGATGTGATGCTGATCTAGAGTACTGTACTTAGAGCTAGTAAGTGTGTTCTGAATTTTCCTTTCTTTGTATTGTCTTGACTGCTTTTGAAATGTTTTGAAAAGGTAATTAAACTTATTTTGTGATTTATTTTTAAATATTTGATTCCTTTCTGCTATGCAGGAGGCATCTTTTAAAGTGGTTTAATTCACTAGAACAAAACAGTGTAGTTACATTTGGTGTTATTTTGCAATCTATTACCTTGCAATCTGTCTGCTACCGAAGAGCTTTAAATGCTGTAAGTATATTCACTGAAAAAGAATTCCTGTACTTAAAAAAAAAAAAAAAAAAAATGCTGTATTAACTTATGCATCTTACGAAGCAGCCTATTCTACAGCTTTTTAAGAAGTATGTTTACTGTATGCATTTTGCAGTTCCCATCATCCTGCATTGCTATGAACTTATCAACTCTCTGTATAGTGTTTAAAATGTAATTTTATTTGCAATAATTGTATTACTCAGCCAACAAGTCATGTATTTACAACGCAAAATGTAGTAGTGCTCTTGAGGTAGCTGAGTTTGTTATTAAAATGCATTAAAAGGTAATGTAACATTTTGAAAAAATGCCCTCTCCTCAAGCAAATTACTAGCTTGTGACCTGCTTTTAGTTTTGAATCACTTACCATTGCAGAAATAAACAAGAACCATAATCAGTTACAGTATAGAGTCCAGTCTAGGGCAAACTGGTAAACTAACAAAGTAGCCTGTAAGAGGGGGAAACAGTTAAAGTACTGCTTCTCTTGGATGGTGTAAGAAAAATCACGGAATGTGCAGAAGCAGGATGCTCCTGGCTAGAGTTCCTGATCTGGAAATGCTGTTATGGTCATGAAGATGATTGGAGCATCGCTTGTACATGAGGCTGGGGGAGTAGACATCTTTCCCTTCTGTACAAATACCTGCTCTGAGGGTATAAAGATGAAACCAGATTCTTAGTGGAGCTCAGTAACAGAATCTCAGAATCAAAATCACAGAATGAGAAGCATTCTCATTCATTACAAACTGGAGTGAAGAAAATTCTATTAAGCTTCCTAACTTATAAACACTCAGGGTGGTCAAACACTGGATCACATTGCCCATCATAAATCACCATCCCTAGAGATAGTTAAAACCCGTCTGAACACTGTCCTCAGACCACTATAGTTGACTCTGGTTTAAGTAGGAAGCTTTGACAATTTCAGCAGGTCCTTTCAAATTTTATCTGCTGTCATCTGATACTCAGACTGCCTATTCCTGTAGCTTGTTGCAGGCATGACAGGTGCAGGTAGCTGCCTCTTTCGTGTTTAAAAACAACCCCCCAGACTACTCACTACTTGGCTTCTGAAGAAGCCTGAGCTTTGTTTGAAAGTTCCCTCTTACAATGTTGGGGAATAAGAGGGTTCTCAAACTGGAAAAAGTTAAGGATTTTACTTCAAATTTGTGCTTAAAAGCTCCTCTGCTTGACCTGAAGTACTGTGTAAAAATAGGAATAAATGGTGTGCATATCAGTGTGTGTTTGTAGTGATAGATGATGCCTAGTTTATTTACCACAAAATTCTTGACTGGAAGAAGTCAGTGTAAAGCAGTTTTTGTTCCCTGTACTTTGAAGATGGAAGCTAAATATATGCTACCAGCTGATGCTTACAACTTTCACTTTAATGTTTTTTAAAAGCACTCAAGATTGCTATGGTTGCAACCCAATAATCCTTGAGATCCCAAGCCATTCTATGATTCTAATATGCTTCCCTTCCTGCACACTCACATAGCACCTGTGATCCAAACCCATCCTTCTCCAGGGCAAATACCAAACTCAAGAGTTAAATTTCTAAGGTCAGTCTGCAGCAAGACTGCATTCTTCTACCTCTACTGCATCCCCAGCAGCAGGATGCAAGTTCTTATGTATCTCCACAACTTTAGCTTTACAGTAAACCATCACAGGAGATAATGGCTGTACTTCCTGTCACTAGGGATGTGAGCTAAATATAGAAAATAATCTAAGCTGCTTGATTGCTGTTCTAGAATCATGAAGGTTAAGATCAAATCCATAACATAGTAACAAAACATAAAAATTGAATCTCTTTATTTGGACAATGGTCAGATAAACAAATTTTAAATATAAAGATCTGAACAGTCTTTCTGGCACACTTAAGGGATCAGCATGCCTGATTGGTTGAAGGTTCCAGAGATCTTCCAAAATTATTGAAACTCTGTTGATTTTGTAGAAGGCAGTGTCCAATGTGTAGTATCAAACAATTTAGACAAGGAGAACTGCATTAATGCAGCCATCATTTTCTGGATTGTTTGTTACTTGTGCGTATTTTCCTAAAGAGAAAAGGAAATTAAAATTTATATAGTAAATTACAATTCTTCCATTTTGAAAATTTAATCCACAAGGCCCCTTGGGAGTGGAAGAAATTCCTGTTTCAAAATTGAATGTACTATGAATCTAAGTATGCTTTCTGATGAGCTGCAAACGTCAGTTCTCAAAATATCTTGCTGACGCTGTCTTTATAACATACCCAGAACCTTGAGGAATTCATACAAATCATAGGTTCTGTCACAGTCCAAGTCTCACTGTTAAAAGTTAGATTCTATGAAGATGTTTGTGCACACAACTTTCATTGAAAGCACAGAATAATCATTCATAATTCATATGGACAAGTATTAACAGCCTTGTAACATTGCTTGATATGACTGCTTATGTCTTGCAAGTCCTTTTTCTGATCTTCACCTAATTTGATGTTCAAATGTGAACTGAAAGCCTAAGATTAAAACTTTTTAAAGCTGTCCCAGAGTTGCTTCTGCTACAACCAAAACTCAATAGGGATAAATTATGACACTTTACAAGACATGGGCTTCACAATACACTCAGGCAATAAAGACTTAAAGCTCATTCTGAAGTGCTGCTACTGATTAAGTACTTACCCCAAATAACTTTGCCCCCTTGTGTCACGAGGCCCAGTTCGCTCACATTCACTTCAATGACAGTACCTTTGGTAATTACACCCAAACTTGTATACAAAGGAGAAGAAGGATTCTTTTTTACACCAAGGATAGGCAGGCAAAAAGTAGCTTTAAGTTCAGGATGTGTCACATGTGCCTTCTTGAAACGTAAGCCCTGTAGCACAAGGTGTTAGAAAACATTAGTATATTCTTCAAGTCCTCACAGCTAATTTAACACTTCTAGCATTACATCCTCAGATTTATGCATTTTATGAATCCAAGAAGAATGAAACAAGCCAGAACAGGAAAGTAATTTGCTTACTATAGGAGGCTTGTTAAGAACTTGATTAATGACAAAGTTAGGTACTTTTTTTTTAAATGGCTAGTTTCAGAATGCAGTTTTTTTAACAGTATTAAAAGAAGAATAATTGCTTCCATGACTAAAGTGCATTTCATGAAGAAGTGAAGTGTTTATTGTAAAGCATTAGCAGTTTTTAGACTTAATTTTTTTCCTTTATACTTGTAAACCTGAAAATGCTTTTCATGGATTGTGAACTACTAAACACTCATCTATTACACCTCTTTCTGTCTAGGTACCTGTGCATTGTAATGGGGACTTTATCACTGAATACAATATCACTTTGTGTGTCAATAAAATCTATCCAAGGCTTCTACTCAGTATTTATATAAATAAACTACACTGTCATAATGAATCTGATTTTTCTTCTTTGCTGCTAGACTGCTAAGGCCTGCACACTGCTACTTGTATTTGTGTAAGAAAAGGCCAGGCAGATACAACAGCTTATTTGCATACTGTCACCACTGTGCATTCAGCTTAGCTAACAAATCAGAAGGAAGGAGTACTTGAGTATGACAACAGAGTTAGCCCCTGCAGCTGACAGAATCCTAGCAGCTTGAAAAAAAAGAAGCTTTTGAAGTGCTTCTGCTGAAGATCTTCCCATGCTAATTTGAGAACTCATGGCTTTATCTTATTGATGTCATCTCAGTTATGGGAGTCACGACATAAATATTCCAGTGCAGACAGTAACTGCAGGGGTACCTCCAGCTAGTCTAAGTTCAGATTTCAGAAAGGAAAGTAATACGAATATTCTAAATCAGTAGTAATCAAGTGCATTATCATAGAAGGAAGTTCCTAGATGAAATTTCACTCTACTTAGTCTGGCTTTCTAGATGGTCTTTAAGGTCCCTTCCATCCAAAACCATTCTGTGTGATTCTTTGCCAAACCCAAAACAGTTAAAATAATTACTACCTAAATATTTGAAAGTTTCAAGAACATTACCATTGGTCGAATGAATCGTTCATACTTAGGAGGTTTCCTAGTAAATCCATCTCCAACAAAACAAACTTTTGTAACCATTCTCTTCCAGGCCTTCTTCTTTCTCTTTCCTGTACGAATCACCTTTAAAACTTCTGTTTCTCCCTGTGCACGGACCTTCGGCAAAGGAACTTCCCACTTCCCCTATAGGAAACACAACTGTCATTAGGTATGTGCCATTTCTAAATGAAACAGGATAATCAAAATATAAAATAAAATTTAACTAATCAGAGTAGTTGTAAGCCATGTGTTTTATGCAAACTAATAGCTACTTACAATAGCTACTTATTTTAATTAGCATTTAAGCTGACAGAAATCAAGACTTTGCATATGCTAACTTTGCTCAAGGCACCTATGCTATTCAAAGTTTTAGCTTTTGTACAAGATCAATAATCAGACCTTGCTTGTAAGCTGGATGCCACTTAAGCATCAATAACACAGTGATCATCACCACAAGAAATACTAAGTATCTGAATTTCAATCCAGCTACTTACAGCTTTTTCTTTTCGTTTCTGTTTGATCATGTTAGAGAGAACCTTAGCCCGGGATTGGCCCTCTCTGTCCAGCAGGTATGCTGGTACAGCTCCTTTAGGTGTTTTTTCCTCATTCTTTTCCTTTGTATTTCTCTTCTCATGCATCTTAATTCTTCAAGGGGAAAAAAACAGCAAGAACAACATAGTATTAAGAACAGAAAAGAAGCAAATTTTGAGATACAAAAGGGTAGGCTGTGCCTATTCAAAATACTCTTTAAAGTAAGTACAAAATTTATATTTAAGGAACAGTGCCCAAGTACTTTTCATAGGAAGCCAACAGTTTCTCTTAACACAACAGCTGGCAGACTAGAGCCTCTGAAGCCTGTCAGTTCGTTCAGATTGTAATACAAGAGTCTTACCGAGGAACTGGCTTAAAGCAAAGGGCCTAACAGACAAAGCCAAGCCTATTCTGTAGTCATGTTGCCATTAGACTGAAAGCCAATACAGCGTTTTTGTATTCTGCCACGACTACATTATTGCAATTGCTACTGCTAATTAATGCATGTATTAAGGAATGCTTTTAGGAACAGAGTCGTTCATTGCATTGGTAACAAATAAATAAATAAAGGCACTGAGAAGAGAGGACATCAGAAGCGTTTTAAGCTCTCTGTCCCAAAATTAAGCAAGATGTAAGAAGTACAAGGTGCCACGCAGCTGACAGCCAGGACTTTGTGGCTGTCTCAATCTGGCAGACGCCGTGCAGAAGCACAATGCCAGGACAGCGCTACTCACGTCTTCTTCATCTGGATCTTCTCGGCGTGCCGCTGCTTGTGGTACAGCTTGGCCTTCAGCCCGATCATCTTCTTGGCCTTCCTGGAGCGCTCGTGAGCCTCGCGCCCTTCCTTCTTCCTCTTTCTCTCATGGTAGTCCAGCCGGTAGCCGTACCGCTTGCGGTGCAGCTCGATGTACTCGTTCTGCGGCTGTGGGCACAGGACAGCGAGTTTAGTGCCTCACGCCGCCGGGACGAGACCGGGGGGCACCCCATCCTCACGGGACAGCGGGGCCGCTTCCCAGCGTCCCCAGCATCCGGCCCCGGCCCCGGCCCCGGCCCCCGGCCCCGGCCCCGGCCCCGGCCCCGGCCACCGGCCCCACTCCTACCATGGCGGCGGCCGCACGTCGCGCTCACTCCACGCCGCTCCCCCCTGCGCAGCGAAAAGGGCCGTCCCTTTCTCAGGCCTCCCCGGATGGAAACGCGCCCCGCGGCGCTTTGGTTCCGCCTTGGGGGCGGGCGGCACCCTGCTCGGCCGTAGAGCTGCGGCCCGGCTCGGTGGAGCAAGAAAGGGGCGAAACGGGCAGATAAGGCCGGAGCGGCTGTTCGGCCGCCTGTGTCTGTCGGTCGGCGGTGGGACTGAGGAAAGGGGGGTAGCCGCGGGGGAGCGCAATGAGGCGCGCACCTTCCGGTTCGGCGAGGCGCCCGCCGGGCCGGCTCGGCGCTGTTGTGCTGTGCGGCGGCTGGTGGTCCGTCCTGGGGCACTTTGGCGATGTAGCGTCTGATTTTATCTGTTTTAAAAAGCGTACTTTTCACCACCTTGAAGAACAAAAGGGTGCGTTTCCCGGACCGGCGCTCTGTGCGGAACGCGTTGCTGCGTGTTCCGCTCTGCTGGCTGCGGCTTTCCATGGGAGATGCGCTCACAAACCGTGAGTGTGTGTGGCTGTGCCGCGTGGTGAAGGACCCGCAGCACTGCGACTGCAGTCTGACGAGGGAAACAGCAATCCGAGGTGAAAAGCTGTTGAGTTCTCTGATGTGGTCATGTGAAAACAGCGCCCAGAAAGGGCAGTACAGCTCCCAGAAAGCAGTAGGCCTTCGGTGCAGTGCTTATCTTATTTTATTTTTTGGCAGGGATCGTCTTTAGAGACAGCAGCCAGAATGTGGAGAATCATGAGGAAGTTTTCAGTGAACGCATTGAAATTGTCCGCTTTGTGCAGTCAGGTAAACGCCTTCCCAAATTTTAATACTTAATGCCTGAGTTTAAAAAGATCACCTAAGTTACACCAACTAAACCATTTTATTGCATTTTGTTTTATTTTGGTCTTTCGAGATGAAATAAACAACATAAACTCTTGTTGAGGTTGGGCTTCTCATATGTCGGAATGTGGAAGTTGTGTTATTTTTTTCTAAAGTCTTTTAAACACCTCTGATACACAACATTTTCTACTGTTGCATTTATATGGTATTTAGGCATGTATAAAATGGCTACTGACAACTTGTTTTGATAATGTCACGCATTTTTACTGGGCTTCCCAAATACTGTTGAGGTTGCACTCTTATTTAAGCTCAGGCCGTGCTGCTACTTCCACTCTGGTGGTAATTTCAGTTTATGTAAATACTTAGTGAGCATCAGTTGATTCAGATCGTGTTTATATTTCGTTTTGTACAACTGGAAAAATTATGCCTATAGTTGCCCAAGAAGGTTGTGGATGCCCCATCCCCAGCATTCAAGGCCAGGCAGGATGTGGCTCTGGGCAGCCTGGTCTGGTGGTTGGTGACCCTGCACATAGCAGGGGGGTTGAAACTACATGAGCATCGTGATCCTTTTCAACCCAGGCCATTCTATAATTCTGTTATTCTACGATTCTATGCCTATGAATTAATAATGAGTTATGATTATTAATTCATTACTGTGACAGTTGTGTGTGTTCTCTATTTCCTTCCATTGCCAGCATGCATGTTTCAGGAAGCCAAAAGTTACAGTCCTAAGTGTGACGCAGCAAAACAGCAGTGAAAGGAACTACAGCTCTCCACCAGGTATGCCTTTAAATTGTATTATTATTCTTCTGAATTTAATTTATGACTTATTACTAGGAGTTACTTAGAAGTGAGTAAAAACACTTTCAAAGTTTCATTGGTAATATTTGGCATTTGAAGCACAGAGTGATTAAAAGGTTCAAGGACTGGAAAGAATGGGTTTGAATTGCTGCTGTTATCTCAGTAGTTTTGTAGTAGATTTAGGAAGTAAGAAAAAGGGAAAACAAAGGTGGATAAAAAGCCAGATTAGCTTTGAAGGGTGCAGTAATCCCTGGCCAATTGCCTGAAGAATTAATATTAAGAAGTCATTGGCTAATTGCTGATAGCCAGTCTGCTGCACAAAAGCAAAGAGAGACATCTATGGTTGAATAGAAGGAAGTCTGAAGTGAAGATCATTCTCTTTTCTTTGCAGAGTTAGGGCCAAAGAGAGTTGTGGCCTGGTTAGGTCACTGCTTCTGCAAAATAAGACTTCACTGATCTGATGATACTTTTTTTCTTTGTTTTTTTTCCTGTTGTTTCCAAGTTAAAGCTCTGAAGAGTTCCATGTGTGAAAGAGAGTGAGAAATGTTTTGAAAGTGAAATATGTATCTTTAGTAATTTGGGATGGGTGAGAATTAGGAGTTTTCAAGAGTTGTGGCTCTGAATCTTTGGTTTTGGATAAGCTTTTTAGGAGTTTTCTTAATTCACTTAATTTTGTTAAAATGAATAATTTCTTATTGGGATCAGTCTGACATGTCTTTTTTGTTTTCTTTGTCTCCAGGAGATGTTAAATCTCTGCGTTCTGTCATTAATCCTCATATATCCAGGTACGTCATTGTAGCTTATTCTCCCTATGTAACTGATAGTGAGAGGAACTGATGTGGTACAGTGTCAAGGGTTGTTGCTATTGGTGTTACTTAAATACATGTTTTAAATTGCAGTTCATACTTCCTTGTTTTCAACTTTCTGACGTTTCAATGTGTCAGAGAGATCTTGAACTGAAAAAAATGTGAGTCTTTTGATTGTCTTGAAATGAAAAATGATCTCTCAGAGAAGTTGAAGGTCCACAGTGATTGCTGATGGGTAAATGAGGGGGAGGAACTTCTTGGCATGCAGTCCACCACCATGGGCAGCACTGTATTCCTTGTGTTTAGCTGTAGAGATGATGGCCTTATTAATGAGGGCAAAGCAATTAGGGGCTGGACTGTCATAGAAATGACATGAGGGGTGCAGTTCCTGTATAAGACTGCCTCTGTCTTGAGGGTTAATTCAGCTAATCATAATGATGGCAGCTGATCATAAGCCTGCAATGAGAAGAGCTGCTTGGAAAACAGAAAAGATCTGTCTGAACAAAATCTCATACAACTTCATGAGAACTTGCATGCTAGATTTGAGACATAAATATCAACACTTACAAATATCTTATGGGCAGTGGATGGGGCCAGGCTCTTTTGAGCGGTGCCCAGTGACAGGACAGAGGGGCAGCAGGCACAAACTGCAGCACAGTAAGTACCATACGAACATGAGGAAAAACTCTACTGTAATGGTGACAGAGCACTGGAACATGTTGTCTAGAGAGGCTGTGGTGTCTCCTTCTCTGCAGATATTTAAAACCCACCTGGACACTTTCTTCTGCAACCTACCCCTGCTTTAGGGGTAGGGAACCTGCTTTAGCAGGGGCCTGGGCAGTATAATCTCCAGAAGTTCCTTACAACCTCTTTGATCCTGTGATACGTGCAATGGACTGTTTTGGTCCCCAGGATTTAGGGGTTGGAACATACAAGAAGGTGATGGGGCTGTTTCCATCCATAGAGGGGACGTGTGAGTGCAGAATGAGGCCAAGCAGGTACAGAAGTGAAGTATGGAAACCTGTTCCAGATCTATTGAGTATTGTCATTTTGAAGAAAATTCACCATTTCAGTGCTATCATACTTCAGAATCAGCACATATATTGTATCAGTTAAGCAACAGGAAAAAACCCTGTTCATCTTGTGTGCTGTGCTTAGTGAGTGTGAATTGTTCACGCCAAAAACGTCACTGGAAAAAAAGTGCCACAGTAAAGGCTGTTTTTGCTTTATGCAGAATCCGTAACATTGGTATCATGGCCCACATTGACGCAGGGAAAACAACAACAACAGAAAGAATGCTGTATTACTCTGGATACATAAGAACACTTGGAGGTTAGCAATATATATATATCTGTTTATTTCCATAGCTGTGAGAGATTTGACAATTGTGGCAATCTCATGCAGTGAGATTGGTGGTACAATTTTTAGCATAGAAGCCTTTGTTTCAAAGTTGTTCTTCAATTTAATGAAATTGTAATGTGTTTTCTATTGTATTTGAATGTGGTTGCACTTGTAATTCTAAAGCAGTTGAGAGCTTCTTGATTCATTTTTTTTCTTTTTGTTTTTGTACATTATTTGTTTAACACTATATTTGTTTAACACTTACTCAGAAGTTCGTTTTGTTTTATGTGTTGTTCATTAATTGTTTTGGCAAAGCTGCTCCTCCGGATCCATTTTGATGTGTCAAGGGGCCAGATTACCAAAAACTAATGTGTATTTTAAGTCCTACCACAGTAAGAATTCCTTTTTGCAACAACTCTCACTGAAATCTTTCAAGACTGAGAAAATCAAAGCAGCCTTCATTTATGGTACCTTTGACCTTTTAAATTTAGTGGAGTTTCCTCTGCTATACAGGAGAATGTTAGAAGGTGTGAGCCTTGGGGAGTGATTGAACTTGGTGGTATGCTTATTTGAAAATATGGGACTTTCTCTCTTTGTATTAAAAATAAAATTAATAAAAATTCTTAGCTTTTAAACTGAACTTTAACTTTGAGTTTCAACTATTAAATTCTAAAATTTAAGGTTGTATAAAAAGAGTGCAGCCTGTCATTTCAAAAGTGTTATTTATTCATGATTTTTGGACCTTGCTGTAATTTTTTAAGTTTCTCACAGTGCTGCTTAACTTTTAAGTTTCTCCACAGTGCCGTTCTTTGATTAAAAATGAAAAAAAGGTTGATGGAATTGCTTGTTTTCAACTTACAAATGATTTGTTCCTTACATTGGCAACCTGGGTGTAGGGGCCGATGTTATAATTCCATGACTTAGAGTAGTTTTCATAACTTGATCATTTACGAAAGGGGGAGTATTTCCAAATATCTCTCACTGTCTTTATTTCAAGACAGCTTCGGTCTTTGAATTATTTATGTACCTAGCCGTAATCCTGTTTCCTGCTCACAGATGTTGATGATGGAGACACAGTAACAGATTTTATGGTACAAGAACGAGAACGTGGTATTACCATTCAATCTGCTGCTGTTACTTTTGACTGGAAGGACTACAGAATCAATCTGATTGACACCCCAGGTACTGTGCTTTAGTGGTACTCCTGTAATAATGTGAAAGAGTAGATGAGGTGAAGCATTGCTGAACTTAGGTCCTGAATGTAGTGCGATA